AGGAACCAAGGATCAGCCTATTTTGACAAAACTTTCAATTAAGAGTGAACATATTTTTAAAAAATATGCATGTTGCTTCTCACACAAGAAGTTTTAAAATGATTCATGATTGATGTTTATGGCTGTAAAACAAATAACTTCAGATAGTGGCCTCAACATGGTCAGTCAAACACTCAACAATAAAAGATCTAAAAGTTGGTATATTGCTACAAGTACTATACAGTATCTCTGGACATTATCCATCCTCTTGTCGAGCTCTATCTGTTGGACCCAACTGAGTAGATTTTACCTGAGGACGGGGACAGAATCCAGTCTCCAAAACATTGTGTTTTCAGAAAGAAACAAGACGATGGAAAATGTCCAAAAATATAATACTTGTGACCAACAATATATTGATTGCCCTTTCAAAAGTTCTGGAAACAGTAATAGCTAACCAATTAAGCTCATCATGATTATTACCAGTAACCAAAACACTGGTATCATCAGCAAAAAGAAAAACTTTAGCCAATTTATTAATATATGGAGGCAAATCATTAATGTAAATAATAAATAGAAGTGGTCCAAAAACCGACCCCTGCGGAACCCCTTGTTTAACTCTTTCCCGAGATGAAAAATAGTCCTGACCATCATTTGTTTTGATGTACACACACTGTTTTCTATCCCATAGATATGATTTGAACCAGTTTAATATACAACCCCGGACTCCATAATACTCTAGTTTAGATGTCAATATCTCATAATTAACACAGTCAAAAGCGTTAGCAAGGTGGAGTGGGCCTCACCACATGTCAGTGTAGCAGGGATTAGGATCCGACTATTTGAGTGAAAGCTCTGTCCTTACAATCTCAGTTGCACAAGTACAAAGGCTGTAAGTCTAAGAGAATTTGTGGTAATTATCAGAAATATTTTATGAATGAACCCCATGATACATATGTAATGGCCGTCTTGTAGTGCACTCAATTTCATATTTCGCTTCTTACTACATGTTTCGGCAACATAGTGCCATCTTCAGGTTCGTTATTTACGCTAAGCTATTACATTGTTTGCTATCTTGTGTCTTTCATAAAATTATTTTGAAAGTACTGTGTCTGTGATGTGTCCTTCCTTTTTGGCTGACAACGCTCGCAGCCAAAAAGGAAGGACACATCACAGACACAGTACTTTCAAAATAATTTTATGAAAGACACAAGATAGCAAACAATGTAATAGCTTAGCGTAAATAACGAACCTGAAGATGGCACTATGTTGCCGAAACATGTAGTAAAAAGTGACATGAAATTGAGTGCACTACAAGACAGCCAATACATACGTATCATGGATGAAAATCAGTGCAACAGGACACTAAAATACAACAAACAGAATTAATCCCTTTTGTAATTAATACTCATTATTATGAAATGTAGTTACATTTATGTGTATGAGAAAATACTCTTAAGGAATGCGTAGTTAAAACGGGTTTTTGCAGGAATGAGTGAAGTAAAGGTAAGAGGTAAAGTTATCCCTGGGTTTTAATTAATTACGCATCATGGCATGAACACTTGTGGGTGATGTGGAGGTGTAGCTCCACCATTCTTCATTGAGGCACTAGCTGGAAATGAACAGCAAGCTTCATGTCCCTGCTGCTTTACCCCTGGGGAAAAAGTCCCAAAGTATCCATTGTATATGAGGCTGGGTGGGCCCCATGGCCGGTTGGAACGTTATAGAGCAGAAGAACCTCTTGTCCTAGCTGGGAATCAAACCCAAGCTTTCTTGCCTCTTGGCCATCCAGGCCATAGTCCCTATGTCACTTGCCACCGACCCTACCGACTGAGCTATTCAGGCTCAAACGTCCCTCGATTCCCTCGATGGCGTTTGATATTCTTGCCTGTCGCCAGTTGCGTACTCAATCGATATATTATCGATGGTGCCATTTCAAGCCTGAAACCACAGGAAAGATGGTGGACATTGATTTGAACGTAGACAGCCTTATTCAAAGACTCCTCGAAGGTTCGTTGTATGTACGGAATACTAGTATAATTTACAATAATTGAACCAAAATATAAGTACTATGAGCGAGTTAATCATATATTTTTGTGTAGCGGTTTAAAAGAGGTATATGGGGTTGCATTTAATGCAGACGTCAAGTGCAGTATTCATTACGTAGACGGGATGTTTGATTTGTTAAGTACTCACAGTACTTTTGTATTTGTAGCATAATAAAGTGACGTTAATCACCTTTATAGTTAGGGGATGTCGCCCAGGAAAGTCCGTGCAGATGACTGAAGCCGAGGTGCGAGGACTGTGCCTCAAATCTCGTGAGATATTTCTCCAACAGCCAATACTTCTTGAACTAGAAGCACCGTTGAAAATTTGTGGTGGGTAAAGAGTTCAATTATATTTACATATTTTAGTATGTAGGTATGAGTTCGAAGGGAGGATATTTTGAAATGTTAAGAGACGCTTGTATATTGTAATATAAATTCACGAATATGTTTCCTTTGTAAGTTGTTCAAGAAAGGAACCCATAAACCCAATACATGTAAGTAGAGGCCATTCTTGAATTTGGGGTCCTGGAACATCAAGCTGTGGTCGTCTCATACATTTTTGGGATAATTTTATGTTTTATTGATCTTGAGTTCTGAGTAGTTTGTGTATGAAACTTCATTTTCTTTTGTAGGTGATATTCACGGTCAGTACACTGACTTACTACGCTTGTTTGAGTATGGTGGGTTTCCACCTGAAGCAAATTATTTGTTTCTTGGAGATTATGTAGACAGAGGCAAGCAGTCTCTTGAGACAATTTGTCTGTTGCTTGCCTACAAGATAAAATATCCTGAGAACTTCTTCCTACTCCGAGGAAATCATGAATGTGCCAGTATTAACAGGATATATGGCTTCTATGATGAATGTAAGTTGGATACTGTTAACTGTTCTGCATTTTGAAATTTGTAGGCAGAATTTCAGTGAAATTTCCCAATAAATTTATGAAGTATGAATGGCGAATGTGAATCATTTGTTCTGATCCTTTTACTTTCTATACATTCAAGCATTTCTGACTACCAGACTGATGTCATTCTTCATGTGGAATTATTAGTTCATTTATATGTGCCTCCCATTATTTATTCTTTGTTAGTGCCTCGAGTGCATCATTTTTTATGTACCCAGTATCTTCCGCTTGCCATTGGTCTTCACAGTACATATTGTATAATTATGTCAAATGAACCAACTTGCAACATGCTTCATTTATAGCACCTATAATGTGCACTTTTTCCTTCTCTCTCTCCTTTCCATCAACTTTACAGGCTCCTAAATCACATTCTTTGCTTTCTTTGTATATATTTATATATTTGTTTTCTTGTAAGTTTAACTTCATGTGTCATCTAGTTTGAAGGTCACCGTTGTATAATACTAACAATTGTTTGTCACAGGTAAGCGCCGCTATAACATCAAATTGTGGAAAACGTTCACTGACTGCTTCAACTGTTTGCCAATTGCGGCCATTATTGATGAAAAGATTTTCTGTTGCCATGGAGGACTGAGTCCAGATCTGCAGGGCATGGAACAAATCCGACGCATCATGCGACCCACTGACGTCCCAGACACAGGTGAGTGTGTTTGCTGAAGGTATCTTTCCTCTCAGTTTCACTTCTCTCCTGTCATATCTTTTAGCATTCCAGCAAAAGAGATGTGGAAACAACTCTGAATTCAGATCTGTTGTCAGCATTGGAAGAAGTGAGCCCTGACATTAGCATTAATACCTATTAGATGGCCATGATTGATCAATCATTGCCTTTAACCTTTATCGGACGGGCCATTTAATTTCCGGTAGGGGCAGCTGGATGGAGTTTATTTAAATGCCCGCCCTTCTAGAGCAATGAAATTGTAAGCATGTTTCTAAAAATGGTGTGATTTCTACATTTTTTATGATAAACGAACGAAATGAACGCTCCTTTAATGTAGAAAGAATATAGAATCAGATATTCTAATTTACAGATTTTAATATCTGTAAAAAAATTTTTACACTGATTCCCAAAATAAAATTTCCCGAAATTCATACATTTTCTGCACCATGCGTTCTAGCAGTGTAATACATTTTCTGCACCATGCGTTTTAGCAGTGTAAGTCCTTGTGGCGACTTCACATTCAATGGTATCTCTTGTTGTAGCTTATTTATCGTATGGGAAATGTCGCAATGCACGACTGTAGGCGTCTGAAATTCCTCGCTGCCTAATGTGTTAGATAAACACAGAAGTTAATTCTCGGAATATGGTGTTGCCAGATCGGTGATTCGTTCATTCATTGCAGTCAAACCATTGTGTTTGTAACGATTTTGAAACATCGCAATATAAAGTTAGCCACCCATGACATCATGAAGCAGATATTGGGTTCAGAGAAGTCGTGAATGAGATTTTTGTATGTGTGGGCTCGAGGTTAAGATTTATGGCTTCTTATCGTGGTCTAAGCACAGAGATTCACTGCTAGCACTGCTAGAGATCTGTATACACGACGACGTCGTATGGAAAATGCTGAAATGAGAAACAGATGTTCAATGACACAGATTCGGACTGCTATTCAACCGATTCTGAATGTGGCGTGGAAGGTTGGTCTTCTGATGCCTGAAATTGAGAAAGAGCTGTTCAGTGACACAGATTATGATAGGGGCGAGCAAAGTTGGAATTCTGATTCCGCGGACGACGGGTCATCACCTTCGTCGGCAACTTGGGGACCGCCAGACCAGTGTGGCTGGAGAGGTGTGAATAATTATTCCGGTGTAGCTGCGGGGATAAATATCACTGCAGCTCGACATCACTGGCCTGCTTCCTCTAAATCGCAACTGAGGTGTCGTGTGTGCTTTTCGCGTGGGAAGCGGTCTAGTGTTTGTACGAAGTGCGTGAGCTGCGACGTCGGACTCTGCATTTCGGATTTTTTCGGCAGTACCATACGAAGGCCACATTACCATAGATGACGCAGGGGGGAAGGCTGTTTCCTCATGAAGATGGTGAACATATATCACGTAAGTAAAGCAAAAATTTAATTTTAAAAAATCTTTACACGCGTGCAGTGCGCGAAATCATATGAGGTCGTTCGGCCATATGACGTCGGTAGATTACATTAGATCACGCAGGAGGGAAGGCTGTCACCTTATAAAGTTGTGACCAAAAATTATGTAAATAGAAGAACAATTTATATTTTAAATTTAATTTAAAAAAATCTTTACACGCGTGGAATGCGCGACATCATATGATGTCGTTCTCAAATTTGTCCTTACTTTTAACGTCATATGACGTCCCTAGATTACATTAGATCATGCAGGAACGAAGGCTGTCTCCTTATAAAGGTGGTGACCAAAAATCATGTAAATAGAACAACAATTTATATTTTTAATATAATATCAAAAAAACCTTACACGCGTGGAATCCGCGACATCATATGATGACGTTCGGTCAGCTGCCCTAACTTTTAACGACATCATATGATGACGTTCGTCCGATAAAGGTTAATGGTACCTCCATTTCTAATTTGATGGGCCAAGCATGTATATTTTATATGTTTAGCTCACCTTTTAAGAGCTTATTTCAGGATGGAGCTAATTTTTCAGTATGGAGGCTGAATAAGTGAATAAAGAAAATACTTGCAGCTTTAACAGAAAAGATGTGTCTTTTAACCTTGGGAAATTCACTGTACTTGTTAAGTTATACATGTGCCAGTCATGAGTAAGGTTGTCATGGCAAAAGTACCCCCTTTGTGCCAGTCAGGCATTTAAACTCGGCTAGTGGAAGCGCGCGCACACACACCGCTAGTGGAAGCACATGCACAGTCCTAACTATTTATTTTTAAATGTAGTAATTACCAGACAGACTTGAGTAAAACCCTAATAGAGGAATTAAATTGATACCTAAATGAACAACAGCAAATAAAAATATACGTATGAGTTATGCCAAAACTTATCCACGATCCAGTAATTTTATTGCAGATTCTGCAGATAGGTATGTTAAAAATATATTGTAAAATTCGATGTACATACCTTTTTTGTTGTTACCTGCTGGATGTATATATAGGCTGAAATTATACTACAGTATTCGATTTCACTACGAACGCACAGAAAACAGATCACACTCTGTATCTTAGCCACGATGCAGCTGGCTGCTCATTCAAATAGAAGGGGCAATAAAATTTTGCAGCTCTAACAGAAGGTCTTAGCACTGTAGAAGGGACCCCTCTAGCTTTCTCTTGAATAGCCATGCTTTCATTCTTTTGTCCTTCAGTCAAAAGATTCGAAAATCCGAAGCGTGTAAGCAGGGCTAGCAGAAGACAAAATGATTTTATTGCTTCCATCTGTTTTATGACACCAGGGACTGCTAAAATTCGTCAAGTGTTACAAACAGAAATGAATTTATAATGCAGAACAACTCTGTGAAGAACTGGGAAAACATTTTTGCAGTACGCATCAAAAATAAAACAAAAAATTGAAAATAGAGTATAACATTTTGTATTAAAAATTTCAAATCTTCCATTATAATATGCGACACTCTGTTCTTTGCTGATATAAACAAAGTTATTACCATCCATTTATCATAAAAATTGAGCAAAATACAGCATTTTTAAACACAACGCTTAAAATTGATTAAGCGCCTAATAGGAAATAGTAGAAACGGGCATTTAAATAAACTCCGGCCAGCTCAAGCTTACCACTATTTCCAAGTCCGGCGTTTAAAGGTTAAACCAAGATTAGTGGATCTACATGGAGTATCTTATGCTAATCTTTTATTATTTTTGATGCTGCCAGTGGGTGCACACGGTAGCGTAGTTGGTTGAGTCACTATGCTACAAGCCGGAAGGTCACGGAATCAAATCCTGATGAAGTGTATTTTTTCAGTTTACCTAATCCTTCCAGCCGCACTATGGCCCTGTAGTCGACTGAGCCTCTAACAGAAATGAGTACCAGGAATAATCTTGGGTGTAAAGGGCGGCCAAGACGTAGGGTTGACAACCTTACCACCATCTCTGAGCTGATTGTCTAGATAATGTAGGAACCTCAACATCTGACAACCCTATGGGCCTCCACGGTCTGTTAGAGGGATACAAATTCGCTTAGTGGGGGGGTGGAGTCCAAGTGGGTCCACTCGGCATGGCAGCTACTCATTGGCCTATTGTGGGCTGGGTGATTATGATAATGGAGAATTTGGTGGAATGAAGATTGGCAGGGGAAACCAAAGTACTCTGAGAAAACCTGCCCCAGCGCCACTTTGGCTACCACAAATCCCACCTGACCAGACCCAGGATCGAACCCGGGTTGCCGCGGTGGGAAGCCAGCGATTAACCGCTTGAGCTATGGCACGGCCATTGTTAGAGGGATACCTTTACTTTTTTTTACTTACTTCTTTATGCTGCAAGTATATTTTGAGCAGTTGCCTGTGGACTAATGTATTTGCCCATGCCAACCCATGCTGTGTAATGACATTAAGAATGTTGTGGTATAATGATTAGCAGTGTTGTTACACATTTGTGAGACCTCCAGTTGAGATCAAAGCCAGAGAACACAGTCTCTCCATGATAATCAGAGGTTTGATTTTTGGCCTTCGGTCATTATTGTCATGTTATTTCTCATTTCAACCCAACCTAAGTAACCTTTGCAATTGGTACACCTTAAAATCAGTCAAGAGTGTTGGTAGTTGATCATGAGTGTATTTTTGCATGGCCTGACATTGTGAACAGAAAGATAAACTCTTCTAGAATTCTTTGTTTCCATCTCATAAACCCTGTGCAGATATTGTGCATTAAGATTTTTTTCAGGGTACAAGGAAAAATTTGGAGACTGGAACACATTTTTCTCAAAGATATGTCAGCATTTTGTAGCTACTTCATTCAGCAGGCATGAGACTCTTGGTTCCAGGGTTGTGCATCCAAGACCCACATTTAGTGCTAGAATTTATCTGCTGCTAAGTAATTATACTTTATTATATTATTGATACATTTTTTGACTGTGAGAAAAGCTCGTGAAATGAAAGACATAAACTAATTTAGAAGTAGAGGATTGGTTGCTTCTTGTACTCCTTCATAAAGATAGTTTGAGTATTGAATTTTTGCAATATTAATTACTGTAGAGCTCATAAAAATGAAAATTTATTATAAGGACATCGTAATTAACTAGAGACACATTAATGAAATTGTTGCATTGTTTTGTTTTGTTCTGTTTACCATCAGGATTGCTATGTGACTTATTGTGGTCAGATCCTGATAAGGATGTCCAGGGTTGGGGTGAGAATGACCGTGGAGTGTCATTCACATTTGGTGCAGATGTAGTTAGCAAGTTCCTCAATCGACACGATCTTGACCTCATCTGTCGGGCACACCAGGTAAGCATGAATGTGGGAAAGTAATGAGATGTTACTTACCAAAGAAAGGAAATGTCACAGTACCCCTACAAGGGTTCTTCGGGGGCTAATTACGTAAGTACACAGTTCACTCACCACTGGTCATCATTGAATAAAATCTGTATATTTTACAAGATAAATGTTGGAGTATGATATAGGATTCTAGCCAAAGGAATGTGCTGTATTCCTACCTTAATGTTAGAGAACTTTTCATAATAAGAATTCTAGTGTTACTTAACCTGTTAGGGCTGAATTAAATTGTGATGCATTATTCTGAAGATGCCAGACTGCTTTTCTTGGCCATGTGAATGTTAGGAAAAGCCTGTATTTTGCAAAGTATTTGGTTTACAGTTATGAGTTAAAAAACATGTGAGAGACCATAAATTGCACTACCTCCATATGAAAATTATAATCTATCATGCAGCATTTATATAGTTAATTCAGTTTCAGTTAGCTTTAAGTTTAGAATGTCAAATACTTCTCTAAGCTTCAAAGATCTCATATTTGGGAAGTTCTTATGGGATGGATTTTTATTTTCTGTCTGGTTTAAAATACACAAAAAACCATCACACATCATTTTCAAGAAAAGAAGGATTGGTCTGTTTTTTTAATAAAAATGGGAATGATGTTCTCATATTTGTTTTTTTTTTATTTATAATTTTTGTAACAACACTTCCTCTTTGACCATGACTCATCTGGATAGTAAGGTCTAATATTAATATAGATATCCTCCAGTTCTGCATCTTGCATAGAAGATGTATTGCCAAGCCTTGGAAATAACTGATTCCTCTAGAATTATTGGTCACAATTGACTCAATGCAGTACAGCTGTTTTGTTCTGCCCACTTTGTTCTCCAATAGACTGATGTGCAATAGGAGCATTGCCAGTCAATTCCAGTTAATATTAGCAATGTCCTGGCAGTCCTCTGATTCAGTGTGCCTGCCATCAAGCTCTTGTTCAGACTGTGTGTCACAGTACAGCTCTTCTGTCATACCAAATTCATCTGACTCTTCAGTATGAAGAAGTTTAAAGAAATCTGCCCTCTTTACCTACTGTCTGTGCTTTTGAAAGAAAATATGGGTATAATCTGAAAGTAACCACTTTAAGGATACAAACTCTCCTATAACCGTGTTAATTAAACTTTATCTGCACAGAAGGTGGTAGATTTCCACATAGGTTGGTGGTTATAGCGATACAGAGCTAATGTAGTGTTGAAGTTGAACTAAATGTGCTCTGACCACTCCAGCAATGAGAGACATTATCTTACATAGTCCTTATAACCCTCAGATACCTGAGTAAGATAGTGTTACAACCTACTGGCACTAGTGACTGACAGGAAGTCTGATGTAACAGAATAATTATGATTGGTTTGTGGGGATGTACTTTCCAAGTTTGTCTTGTTAGTATACTACAAGGCGTTCAATCATTGAGGAAACCGGGGGATCAGCGTGAGTCGTATACAACAATTCTCACAGATTGCTGCTGTAACTGCCAATAGCGGAATGAGTCATCAACGCCGATAAACGCGCACACTTTCATTAGTGTAGAGTGGATGGCTCGTTTCTCCGCGACTACTGTGCCCTTGCCCGCTAGCAAGATTGCAGCTTTGTTAGTGATTCCCTCACATCAGTTTCTGTACATGCACACATTTATATGAATACTGTAAAAAGATAACAAAGTTACTGTGCTTTATAACAGGTGTTGGAAGTGACCCCCTTCTGCTTGAAAACATGTCACTCATCACATAAATAAATTATGTGACACTTTCTCGCTTGCGGGGAAGGGCACAGTAGTTGTGGAGAAATGATCCATCCACTCTACGCTAGTGAGAATGCGCGCATTTATCAGCACTGCTTACTCATTCCGTAATCGGCAGTTACAGCAGCACTCTGTGAAAAATGTTTTACCCAACCCAGGCCACTCCCCAGTTTCCTCGATGGTTGAACGCACTGTATTTGAGCATCCTGTTGCACTTGATTAACAGTGTTTTCCATATTCTTTGAGTTCTTTGTTTTTGTTTTTTAAGTGAAGTGCTAATTAAATATAAAATTGTACAAAAGTTAAGGTGTAACCTGTTAAGTGACAAAAATGTTTTTTCATAACTTTAGGTACATTGTTGTGCTGCTTCTTGTGGTCTGACACTTAATGAAACATAAACACTTTCTCACCTTACAAGAAATATGCTTGATGATGGTCTTTTACATTCTGAAACATGTCATATGAAGGTAAATAGTGAGAAATAAGGTAGTGAAATGGGACAGGGAGACAATAACCACACAACATGGAGTGTATTACTGTTATTACATCATCTAATTGATCATGAGATAAAGGATAATTGAGCAGCAGTCTTTACATTAATATTAAAATATTAGTCACTGGTGTATTGTAATTACTGTAATCTACTCTGCTTACTTGAGATTTAGATTTAATCCATCAGCACTGATGCGCTTAGTATAGCAGGCGTGATCATCATATGTCATAGTGTGTAAGTTTATGTTCCTTTATGAATGAAACAGGATTTACTATTGAAAGGAAACTATCCATCTTCTGGTCGCTACCCCATGTGCAGTATATGCTAGCATCCAACACGTGAAGGTAACTGCAGTGTTGATGATATTTACCTTTATATATCTACAGTTTGGTTGTGTTGCAGGTTGTGGAAGATGGATATGAGTTCTTTGCAAAACGCCAGTTAGTAACACTCTTCTCAGCACCTAATTATTGCGGAGAGTTTGACAATGCAGGTGGCATGATGTCGGTGGATGAGACACTTATGTGTTCATTTCAGGTATATTACTATATTCACTGTAGATTCATCAGAGATAAAACAATACAGAATAATATCACATGAGAAATTCACCTCTCTTGACCTACTTTAGTCATTGCTGATTTGTTTAGCTCTTTGACTGGCGCGGGCGTGTTTTAACGCTTTGACAATCTCTTCCCTTCTTTGCTCTCTTGGCACTCATCAACCAAAGACATATATATGATAGTTTTTGTGCATGTTTGTAAAGAACCCTTGTAAACTTTGTGGGGGTCTATATTACTGTCAGAACCCTCTGAGAAGGAAAAGGTCAGAAAATATTTCACATTCATTCAGTTTCACCATGGCTTCTTGCAGCAAGTGTCTTCGTGTTCCTACAGACCAGCTGGAAAATGTTGTGAACGAGATTTGTTCTGATGATGATAGTGGCGATGAAATAATGATTCCTGAATTGGATGAAGTTGATAGTGACAATAATACAGTGATAGACAATGATCCACAAGACAGTAATCATGAACATTTACCTACCACGAGTGCGGTGCCTGACACGCCCATCTCATGAACGTACGGAGACATTGTACCCCCAATATTTCCATTTGCTAATAGTTTCGGGATCAAAATTGATATAACACATAAAATGCATCCCTTTTCATGGATTAAAATTTTTTCTGGATGACGACTTGGTAAATCACATCACAACTGAAACCAATCGCTATGCTCACCAGCACTTCAACACACATGAGTTAGCTCCTCACTCTCGAAAACACAATTACAATTATGTCACATCAGATGAAATCTGGACATACTTAGGAATTGTGTTCATGACAGGAATCGACAAACGCCCTGAAATTGAAGAATATTTGTCCACTAGGCCACCCATTTCACACCCATGGTATGGACACAACATGTCTTTGCAGTTGAATAGTTTCATTCTATTCAAAAAGAACACAACAAACGAAAAATACAAAAACAGAAATTACAGATTCAAAGATTTTATATTGGACTGTGTAGAAAAATGACTGAACCAAACAAACAGGGTGGAGAGGCAGAAGAGTCAAGGAATGAAGTGGATGACGAATGTATTGCGGCAGTCACGCCTCCGCCCTCGACCTTGAAAAGACCACCAGTGAAAAGCCAGTAAATCGTATAGAGGGTGGCTTTAAAATTCACAAAATGGTCCATGTTCCTCCCAGTAACAAGAAGAATGGTGCCCTGAGAAAGTGTGGCGTGAGTGCTAAGCACAAGATTAGAAAAGAAACAAGTATCATGTGTGCAGGCTGTGGTGTGGCTCTCCGCAAACTTTCATGTTTCAATGTTTATCACACGAAGAAAAACTAATAAAGAGGTATGGAAAGGCATTTATTGCATAAAATATTGTATTTTAATTAGTTCCTGAAAATTTCTTTTTTAAAAACCAATTTTTGTTGAAGTTGTTTAGGAAAAAGTAACTACATGAATTTTAGCGACATAAGGTTTAAAGGGCCTGCCAGGACAGGGGTGGGATTTAAATACCCTTCGCGCCAGTCAAAGAGTTAGTTAGGAGATGTGTTACAGTGGGCTTCATAAAATAGGTAATTCAGGAACCTGTAACAAATTAAAATAGTTTTGAATGCAGAAAGAATTCGGTATTTATTATGACAAACAACAAAGCTGCATCATAGGTCAAGCGGTTAGTCGCTGGCGGCGGCGGCCCGGGTTCGATCCCGGGTCTGGTCAAGTGGGATTTGTGGTGGACAGAGTGGCGCTGGGGCAGGTTTTCTTCGTGTACTTTGGTTTCTCGTGCCAATCTTCATTCCACCAAATTCTCCATCATCATAATCACCCGGGGCAGGCTACAATAGGCCAATCAGTGGCTGCCGCGCTGAGTGGACCCAGTTGGACTCCACCCCCCACTAAGCAAATTAAAAATAAAATGACAAACAACAGACAGCTGTATTATTAATTTTCTTCAATATCCCACACATATTTTTCTTAAAAAATGGAACAAAAGATTGGGGTGCAGAGCTCATTCATGTCAAGGTTGGTAACAGTGTGTGGTGTATTTATGGTGATGTAAACAGTCCATGGTTTATATGTGACATGGTTGGCACTTGTGCACAGCTTATTTGCTATATGTTGTTGGCAGCATTACCCATTCTAAGCTTCATCATAATTTTCATAACTTTCTGTACCTTTTGTGGACCTGTACGCACATTTATACCTATGGGTTCACAGTGTCTCTCTTTTGAAAGCAGGGTCCTGCACTTTATTAAAAGTGTAGGATTAATAAAGGGCTAATCCAAGGGGAAGCACTATAGATCATTGAAGGTCGCAGTGCAGGGGCCAGTTATTTTTTATGGCCCACCCCTTGCATACATTACATTACATTACATCTCTGTGGAATGAGATATGAGGGTGTGGATTTTCCTTATTTTGCATGCCTGATATCAAGAAAGTTGGTCTTAAATATTTCTCTGACCACATACCCGCAGTAATGCAAACATGGTGGCCTTTCTTATTTTTGAATGTGTTTTGGCTCTAGAACCTCATAATGTTAAAAAAATGTACAACTTCTGTTCATAATGTTTCCATACAATAAAAAGAACTTTGCAGCCACATGAAATCTCTAATCATTATCCCATTTGATGGCAAAATTGATGGAGAAATGTGGAATATTTTATGGGAGTATGCCATAAATATACGTACAGATTTCCTAGGAAAGACTTCTAATGCGATATGTTTAAAATGACAGATATGAAAACAGCATGGCACCTTGAGGCTGCATCTTACAGATTGGAATGATTGGGAATTGCTAAATTGCATGATTATTTTCAGTTCTTTGTAGTTTCATAATGTTGACTGAAGCATTTGAAGGAGAGTGGGCATAAGCTATTCATAGAATTTCTCCTCTGTATTTTTTAAATTGTAAAATTAATTGATAAACTTTAATAATATTATGATAAAATAGATAAGTTCCCGGTTTCATATATAGATCTTGAAACCATCAGAGAAGAAAGCCAAATATCATTACAGTGGTGTGAACTCTGGACGACCTTCCACTCCACAGCGAAATCCAACCAAGAAGAAATAGCTTGTATCTCCTACAGGTGAGTGATACAGGTGATTCTGAAACTCTTTTATTCTGATTCCTCATCTCCCATGATGTGTTGTGTTCTGTGGCCCAATATATCATCATTTGATCTTAATACTTGCTTGTTTTTTGCCTCCTCCTGCTGTCTTCCAACTGTAGGGAGTAGCTGCAGGTATTTTGCATATGTAATCCTGGACATTCAAAATGGGTGGTTGTCCCTTTTTATGTGTTTGCATGTGGAGTTGAGATCACATCATCAAAAATACTGTTGACTCCTGCAAAGATTCACAGAATACCTTAGAATTATACTTCCGGTAAATCCAGTAATTTGCCAGTTATGTGCCAACAAGCCTTACCTATACATATTTTTGATATTCCAGTTTCCAAAGTTCATGTAATTTCTCTGCTGACAAGGTCGTTCAAAAGAATCCATCCAGTTCTATGCGTTGGTGGGTTCTTACCAAGGCAGTGTTGGAAGAGTTCTGTTATCTGGGATATAACACCAGATAGTGCAATGAAAGTCGTGTTACTCCAAAACATCAGTTGATTTTCAACAAGCTGCACTGTTTTATGTCCCAGAGAATAGAATTTTTCATAAGCACAGAACCTCAAATAATAAAAGGCATTGTTTTATTGCAAGAAGTTCTTAGGTTCTTGCCTAATCCTCAAGTTAGGAGATCAGCAACCGATGTCATCTGTTCAAGTTGCATATTCCAAATACCTGATGCTATCCCCATTTCTGGAGGACATTTCCATTTGCAGCTGAGAATACATCAAGATGTAGTGATTCTATATGGAAATTCGTCCCCTAATAGATTCACAGCAAGCACATTCAAAGAAATTATGTTTTGAATTGTACATTCTGCAAAGGGAAGTGATTTATTTTTGGTTTATTTAATGATAGGGTGTGCGGGGCACACAGTAACATAGGTGTTTGAGGCACTGTGCTAAAGGCTGGAAGGTCCCGGCTTCTATTCCCGTTGAGGTCATTGGAGTTCTCAGTTGACCTAAACCTTCCAGCTGCATTATGGCCTTGGGTTGACTCAATCTCTGACAGAAGTGAGTACCAGGAATCTTCCTGGGGGTGAAGGGCACCCAGTGCATAAGGCTGACTTCAGTGCCACTGTGAACCAGTTGTCTACGAAACATGGCCTCAATGTCTCATAACCCTGTGGGCCTCCACAGCCTGTTACTGGGATAGCTTTACCTTAGCTTTATTTAGTGACACTATCAGTAGCTTAATGTAGCATCAAATAATGAGAGAATTGTTCATGTGGAAGAAAATTACATAGTCAGTTTAGATCCTATTGTCGATTTTTTCCTGGGGGGACTGAAGAAAAACCTGCCAGTAGCCGATCTCCAGACCGAAATTTGAACCCCATATCTCCCCATATAGAAAGCAGGAGTGCTGATTATTCAGCTGCAACCTTCTTTAGGAAAGATGATGTAATGTTCTCTGTGTGCATTATTTTGTTTCAGGTATATCAGATTATTCTTTCAGAAGACAAGACCACCATTACATCTATTTTCTATTTACAGTAATTGTAATCTGTGATGACGATATTTTGCTATGAAGAGTGACAAAAATCGCCCTGGCACTGATGTGTAGAGTAATGATATAGGCACTTCTTGTACAGATCTCTGCACCTTCATTCCCATTGTCCTTTCACTTCCATAAGTGCCATGCCTTCCCTATTGTTCTTATTTGTTAATTATTAGTGGTCCAATGAAGTCCTAATGCATTGCACCAAGCAAGCATTCATTGTAATGTTACTTCTTAAGCTTCTGTTACACATATGATGAAGGTGATTTGCAAAACCACCATGAGGCTATTTCATTAGTGTTAGTTTCTTTATGCGAAGGAGGGATGTCATTAGTAGTGCTCCTCTTGTGTCTGCTTCATTTTCAGTTATTGACAGAATAATTATTTGATTTAAATGAGTACCATGTATGTCAGTTTTAATTATAGGATTATGTTCTTAAATGCATACTTGGTTCTTGTTGTGAAGTTGGATTTCTGAGTACTGATAGTGGGACAAAATTAACTAAAACATAAAATGTGCTATACACCTGTAATGTATGAGTGTGAAATGATGAGTATTTCTTTTCTACAAATCATGTTTTGAAATGAGTCATTTCAAGGGTGAACATTGCATTTTATTTCAAGAATGGAATCAAAAACATGTGTGTCTGTACAATTAAAAAAGCTTCAGTTAATTCTTACATAAAGGGTGTAACTGATTTTGAAGATAGATTATGTAAGAGTTAAGAGTGAGAAAGGACAAAGTTTTTTTAGAGGATTGATAGATGGGGGTACTGGTGAAAAACAATGGCATGTAGTTTCACCATGGCCTTTATTATGTGTCATGTGTAAATTATATCTTCTTTCTGTTATTGTTCCTGTCACTCTTGTGTTTCTTTCTCAAGTAATACTGCTTATATTCCTTATACGTGCATTGTCAATATAATGTAAGTATAGTGGCGACATATTTGTTTAATTTGATTTCCCTGTAGACATGGCTATAGCTGAGAGAGTTATCAGTCAGTACTCTCGCTTAACTTGACACAGTTATATCATTTATACCAGTTCTTATTCAGTGAGCCCAAAATATAAATCTTCCAAGATTTATATTCCTTCTCTTCCAAGATCATTGAAATGACTTTGTGGAACATGAAGCTATTTATTCTGTATTAATAAATGATAAAGCACTCATTTATTTAACTCAGTTTAATATAATTGTGAAATTTTAGTGTATTGTAGCAGAATTCATAGATGTTTTCTACCATGTTTAAGTGAATGCAAAACATACCATCCACCATAATTCCCCCAGCAAGAATTCTATTACAAAATAACTGTTGGTCTTTTAGAAGAAACTTTATGCAATTTCCTTAGATAAAACTTCAGTAATTACAATACATGTTTCATTTTATATGACAGAGAAGCACATTCAATCTTGTAATATCAGTATATTTTCCATAATATAGTATATTATAATTGTTACAGGGGAACAGGTAAAACATGAACAGATCCCATATACAGACAGTTCAGACTTACAGTTAGGCCAGTTTCCTAGTGCTGACAGAGGAGTATGCATTATCCTGTTATATGTAAGCATACATTTGGCCATCTGATATTGTTACCGAAGTCAGAAAATATTACAATGGAATGTACAGCCAGTTCAGATGAAACAGTAGGGTCCAGAAGGCAAGGGACACTTTGACATTTGGAAGTCTGAGAAGGAGATGGCAGGATAACATAAAAATGGTCTTAAGAGAAACAGATTGCATGCTGTGAAAGGATGGAACCAGCTCATGATTGCATTTACTTTGTAGGCTTTGATGTTAGTAGCATTGAATGTTTGGGTTCTGTTATGAGAGAGTATAGATGAGGTAAAAATTCTCTGAGCTTCAGTGACTATTACAAATACAAATGTGGGTTAGTTTGTTGGCCAAGAAATGGGGAGGAAGTGGAAGACTGAGGGATAGTGAATGCGGAAAGAACCCAGTTATTTGTTCCCCCCTTCCCTGGCCAATCCATCCTTCATCTTTGCTTTCCTTCTCTATGTGATGCAGTTCATGCTTGGAAATGCTTTGTGTCAAGTGTAGTCCTACAGTTTTATTACTGTTATTTGGACCAGTTGTGGACATTCTGTGCCATCAGAGATACACAGTCCGTAAGGTGATGGATTGAAAGGGTATTAAGAATATGCTATGTAGTGCTAACAGAATTAAATTTTATTTTATGCTATGCAAAGGGATAATTACCATTCCATCAGTTAAAAAGAATGGTCACTGTTTAGTCTGTTTCAGCAGAATGTTATGTAGGAAGTCAGATACCAAGCATCATTATAGTAGTTAGCACAAGTGCTTCAGTGACCAGGCACTGTGACTGAGGTTTTTGTAATTTTCCTCACCTCCTCAAGACAAATGCAGGAACAGTACATTAAAAGAGGCCATAGTCACTTCCTACCATGTCCTTCCTAGCTCATCATTTACAATTATTATGTAATTCAACACTGTATAAGTAGTTTGGTTTATAAATCATAATTTCGTATGTTTTTTTACAGTATATATGTAAACTGAATGTATTTATAAGTTAGTGGTATCTGTCATGCATGCTAACATTGAATAAGATTTGACTACAAGGAAACAAAAGTGAAACACTCTAGTCTTCAGAGACGGAAAAGAGATGTGATATGAATGACAGGAAATGTTTAAGTGCAAAATTTTACATGCTTAACCAACAGTATTCATCTTCTAAAAATAAGATGACTGTTTTTGTAATTAATAATTACATTCTTTGTAGATATAATCATCTACAGTAATTTATTAAAAAGTGTGAAATTAATTTTTATTATATTAATTTATTATTAATAACCAATATTTTAACAAAATTATGTAAGTAGATTTTAAAGGTTTCTGTCAATGGTGTATAACACTCAAGAATTACTGGATTTTTGGACTTTGTCCATCATCCTCTATTAAAAAATGAAGTCATTAACAGCAAAATAAAGCAGATGTTGGCATGATAGTGTCTATCTTGTTTACTTTCTGAATTTATTTTTGTCTAGACTGCCTCAAATCATATCCTTTTAGCGAACTATACACAACAGGATGCATGCAATAAAGATCAGTTTTAAAACTACTGGACAATGGACAAAGTCCAAAAACCCAGTAATTCTGATCATACCATAATTACTAAAATGTTGATTTAGAATGAAATTTAGATTACAAGAATACTCTGCTGCACTCATTTATGCCTCTCCACAGAAAAGATTACTCCCATGGACTATGTAAGATTGATTTCCATGTCTCTGTTGTGAGTGCATGTTTCAGTACATATTACTGGATTTCAGTGGATAATTGTGTGACCCCCCCCCCTCCAAATATCTTTTGGAGATTGTATTGAGTTATAGAAAAACAGAAGGCTTAAAGTAGATTACGAGTAGATAAAATTCAGCTGAACAAATTTTTGCAAATGTGCCTTCCATTTGTATGCATAAATAATTGATTTGAATATATTAAACCTGTTTTTAAATTAAAAAGTTTGAGAGAGCAAGTTCTCATGATGTGAAAGCACATTTTGTTTGTGCATATTTGGTTTGTAATGCCAACAAACCCAAGTTATAAGAACGAATAATAAGTATTGTAATTAATGATAAAATATATGCAAAAATGAAACTGGTAGTTTTCACAATAAGAAATGCACATTACATTTAAATCACAGTCAAAATAAGTTACATTTGTGTAGCATTTCTTTGTCTTCTTATTCTTCTTTATTTTATTTTTATGTTGTAATGCTGTCTCAACTGTAGGACTTCATAATGTCTGCTGAATTAGGGGGTTCTCAAAGGAAGCAGACACGACCTATTTAAGTTAATGATGGTATTTGCTGGAGAGCATGACTGAAAATTACAGAAACCTCACTGCTGAGATTTGAACCAGGTATCTTTTGTACATGTCAGATGCATTACCATGAAAGAATTCTACTTGGGTATGGTAAAATTAATGCTGATACTTGATATGTATTATTTTAATTGTTCTTCGGAACTGAACATGTTCAGCTAAAATGAAACTCTGAAATCTTAGTACCTCCAAATTGTCATGCAAGTCTACAAAGTTGTCATCGGTTTCATGAGAAGGTGAAGTTATGTATAGTGGGATGAGTTTCTTCATTCAAAACAAGCTCATTAAAATAGCACCAGATGTTACATTAGGTTTAATTTAATGAGCTTTCATACTGTGGATATGACAGCTAATAGGCAGTGATGGTTCTGCAGAGATAAGTGCATACTGTGTCAGGTATGTAACATATTTTGAAAAAATACAACTTTTTTAATATCTTCCAGGCCCATGTGTATGATGCACAAATAACGTACATGCTTTTTGCTTCATGTGAAAATGAGTTTAGTAGGTATTTGAACTCTGCAAATTATCAGAATAGGACAGTACATATTTTTCAGCTATAATAATTCTCGTATGTTTGCATGGTGCTTGCTGTGCAATGCTTATAGTTGTAAATAAAATGGGACCACATACATGCCACTCAGATTCTAAATATATTCACAGTAAATGATCTGACACCTCCTGGTAATCATTCTGAATTCACATGCTGTACATAAATTTGTATTCTTTTCTCTTTAGTACTTCTCATATGCACCTGTACTGTCAGCACATTCTAATAACTGTCAGCCTTTAATTGGTGGGGATTTAGTAATTACTGAATTTTGTGTGACTTTTAGTGTTAATAGATCATCATTAAATGAGCAAAGAATAAATTAGTTTATGTATTTTTGGATACTGGAGAAGAGGTAATTAATGTTCATGAAGGTGATATAAGGTAGATTTTTGTTATATTTGTTGAAAGAGCTATGCAGCATATACAGTTTCATTTTCACCTCCCATATGACAAAGGATAAGCTTGATATATAAAAGATTATTAACACCGTTGAGTGTGATTGATAAATGTAGTGTTTTTTTTAATCTTTCATCCTTTACATGTTTCGGTCAGAGCGACAATCTTCAGAAGGAGATCAGTACATATGGAAACTACTATTACAGCGTCATAGGTCATTATCAGTACATAGAGAAACTACTATTAATATGTGCATGAATTTGTTAAAACATTTCTAAATTATTATAATTAGTCTATTTACAAAGTACTGTTTAAAAAACTTTTTGTTAAAATCTAGAACCAATTTGGTTCGTGTCTTTATACTTCTCTTTAAAGGGAGATGAATGTATGCCACATTGTGGCTCTGTTGTTTGAAGAATAGGACTCTTTAGTGTCATCCAGTTGTTTAGGTCACATTGTGTTGGTAATTGATAATGTCCTGAAGATGGTTGCTCCAACCAAAAGTGTAAAGGATGAAAGATTAAAAAAAAAAATTATCAGTCACACTGAACGATGTTAATATTCTTTCATACTATTACTAGTGTAATGGACTAGGATGAACTGAGTTAAAGATAAGTTTAATATTAAAATGTCTTAATTTTGGTGGATAGAGTTTGAATGTCCTTTTTAAAAATAACTGACAGAGTAAGCAAAGACATTTATGATCAATAATTAGACCTCAAAATAAATTGTTACTTTATAAACTTCTTGAAAAATATGTTTATGGCCCTTACAAAAATTGGAATCACATATATAAATGGCAATGTCTAAAGCATATTTTTTTTTGTGGTTATTAACTTCCTGATACCTTATTTCAACACGAAACAATTTTTAGCACAAATATCCCTTGAATGTTTATAAATATTCATATAACACACAGCGGTGACTATGAAGAATACTGTTTTCTGGGACATAATGTCCACTTTTTGCTGGTTTCTTGCTTGGCTTACCCTTCATCCCTGAGAGTGGAGGCAGCATTATGCTCCTAAATGTCAGTGAACTTATTGGAGTACGTGGTGTTACATCCTTTTCTACAGAGAACTCCAGTAAAAGTTATTGCCCAGTTTTTTAAAGGTAAAATGCACAGTATACTTGGAAGACATTCTGAGTATGTTCTCAATCCTTTGTATTAGCAAACATTTCCAATACTAATGTCCCATTAACATTTAGTCTGCAGTGACTGAAGAGTATGTACCAAGTATCAGATAATTCATTTGTCAGTATTACAAAGAAATACACATATTGTGAAGCTCAGAGAAACATTTGTGAGAATTTTCCAATACTGTGTAGTACATTGCAGGAGATTAGGCTTTGTGTTGAGGACTGTTTTGCAAAAATATGGAGGCAAGCTGTTTGTGATGTCACAGAGGGGCATCAAGTTGCCAGATTGAGTTGTCTTTGTCAATCAGTATCAAAAGACTCCATTACAGAGGTACATTCATCTCATTTTCTCATATTTGTGAGCACAGAGTGTGAGATGAAAAAAGGTCATTATATGCTTTCGTTGGGTCTGTTGGACATATGTTGACGAGTATAAAGATTTTTGGAAGGGTGAGAGGGTAATTGCAGAAAGAAAAATAAACATGTGCACGTAAAATGTCCACCAAATACAACCTACATAGAGTACAGACGATAATAATAATTCAGTTCTTTATTATTACTTATGTCCCAAGTCTACAGCCGCAAGACCAATTTCAGACAGAGCACAGTGTACATTCAAGGTAATAATAATAATTCAATTCAATTTAATTCTTTATTATTTATGTGCCAAGTCAACAGCCGCAAGGCCAATTATAGACACAGCACAGTGTAGATACAAGTAATTACATTATGGACAATCACAACATAAAGTCAAAGACAAATTACAGGCAAGCACTCGAGGAAAAACGCATTAATGCAGACAAGTAAACAAACAATAATAATAATAATAATAATAATCTGCTTTAAAAGTTTTCCAGTTTCCACAGCTCATTCACCCAACTTCAGTCTGAAATTAAGAACACATCCTGGTTTCAGTAGTCAGAGGATAGAAAACATCTGTTTTTTTTACTCCTTAGTAAAATTTCCTCCCACGAGAAAAAACATTTAATTTTGGACAGTGTTTAAACTGCTAGTATGTGGTAAAATTGAATCTTATATTACTAGTTGTCAGTCACGGTATGAATCATCAGAGTTGTAGTTATTCTTTGTGAAGTTATTTGTAATTGACTTTATACACATATATACTATAAAACTGTTATGATACGAAATGCTAGATGATGGTGGTTGTGGTTAAGGTTGTTACGGAGTCAGAATTATGCACTTTAACATATGATTTATTAAAATAGTACACAAAAGAGTTTTCAGTTATATTATTTTCAGTTAAAAGTTATTCGGAGTAGGCATTTGATATGTTTCCTAACATTCTTCTTCATTATATTTACATAATAATGATAATACAAATCAGAAATATATTGTGGAACTTTCTGTCCAGCATATCAGTCTGTTTTCTCCCTAGCACAAAGCTTCATAAACAGATTTAGTAAGATATATATCATAATCATTATTTGTGATGTCTGCTTATTACAGAGTAAGATTGCTTGAAATCATTGTTATTGGTCCTTCATTTGTATTCCTAGAACAAATCCAATCCAAGTTGCTTGTGCCAGGTATGAGAATTTTCATATGTTTATGAACCCTACATGTATTTATTTCTTATACATTTTTTATTGTTTTTGTGGGATACTCTTTGATAATTTAAAAGTCTCTGTCATGTATTTAAAAATGTGTATGTAAAATCAGAATATAATTTATGTTGGTTTAAAATACAGATTTTCGAGTATCACATTACAGTGCCATTGTCTGGGGTATTCAAAAATATTTTTCAGAAATGAAAAATGTTTTTGAAACTATTAGATTGATTTTACATATATAAAAGTAGTTCAACAGAACCATATCCATTGTTCATTCAGGGTAGTGGAATTAGGAGTTTGGACTTTCTCTTGATTGCAAGAGACATATCTTATATTTAAGATATACATTTGTTTTACTTTTTTATAATATACATTTTATTTTGGAAATTGTATTATTTAAAAATACAACATGCCATTGACATATATAATGCAGTTTCTCTACTTCTCACAAGAAGTATGTAAAGTGACAGCTTCAACTGAATGAGTATGTAATTTTTCAGTTACTGTGCCTGGGCAACAAGTGCAAAGATGTGTTTTCATCGACACTGAACACGCATATCTGGCAGTTTGCATCAGTGTGTGTTGAAAAAACATAACTGGCCTCCTACATAATTGAAACAGTCTTGAGACTTCATTAATTGTCAGTACTGTCTTTTGCAATTGTTAGAAAACTTCAAAACAAGAATTAGAAAAATAAACAACTGTATTTTGATGCTGATTCTGCTCATGGGTTTTTGCACCTTGTGAATATTGGTAATGTTGTCAGTGTTTCATAGGTACAGTCTTCCTCCCCCTTTGATGGATAGGGTATGTGAGCATTCATGTGTATATCAACAGATCCATAGGGGGAAGGGTGGGGGCTAGTGAGTGTTCCAGGCCAGTAGAGACAGTAAGAGAGGGTAGTCATTAAGGAATGCATCCTGTCATGTTAACCCATATGTCTTCATTAATTTCTGTCTTACAACCGTCACAGCTCAACTAACATCAAGATCAGTGCCTAGTTTCGGCTATTAATAGCCATCATCAGGCAAATACATGGTTAACATGTATACACCACTGAACCGCAGTACTAGCAAAATTGGATACAATATTATTAATTATATAACAAATACTTGACATCAAAATACAATAAATTAGATTATATAAAACAGAAGTTATAGTATAAAACAAGAATAAAATTGTTTGATTGATGTTTTACATCATCGAGTCAGTCGTTGGTTTTGTAATTTTGTTGTGTTCCCACAGAGAAATTGGAATATTCTATATTATGTGTATATAAAAATTGTATAGGAGGCTCGTGATGTAGATGTAATATTAATGTAAATTATTTAGTCGGTGCCTCGTCTTACAAAGTATTGTCCGTTCTGTAGGGAATGTCTTAACAACTATCAAAATCTCATTCACATTTACTGTGTATAATCGAGTTTATTAGTCTAATAGTATGCCATTGTGCTACATGTTTCAGCTTATAAAGCCATCATCAGGCAGTACACATTTAACAGATATTTTCAAACTACTGAATTGCACTTTATATGAATTCATACATTATAACATAATAACTATTATCAGTGTACCTGACTTCACACAGTTAATACATACAACACTTTGTGCAGTGTAATGCACAACAAAGCCCGATGCAGAAATGTGAGAGGTGGAGAAATTCATAAAATAAAGAAAACCAGACTGCAGAAAACACAGAATAAACGTTGTAGAATATCACATCTAGTTGTTCTGAACAGTGCAGCTGCTCCATAAGGAAATCAAATGAGTAGAAATAAAACACATTTGACTACAATAAAGAAACACCTGTAGATAACTACAAATTATAACGTTATAATTGTGATTATGGGCACCAACATAAATAATGTTTATATATAACAATATTTAGGCACAGCAAATACCATAGACATGATGAACAATTTAATTCATTGTCAAGTGTATTTTATAACTTAAATTTATTTTATTATAAATACATTTATGAGACTTGTATTAATTCATTGATAATAGTTATTATATTGTGATATATGAATTCACATAAAAGTGCAATTCAGTAGTTTGAAAATGTCTGTTAATATGTACTGCTTGATGATGGCTTTATAAGCCAAAAAATGTAGCACATTGTCGTACTATTAAGACTAATAAACTCATTATACACAGTAAATGAGAATGAGATTTTGATAGTTGTCAAGAGGGAAACATCAAAACTGATCGTTTAAAGGATCATGGACAAAAAAAAAACATTGGCAACTGGTGTTCTCAAGCAGTTACATACAAAAGACTAAGTGCAATGATACTTGACATCCTTTGCTGTTAGTGGATTGGTGTGGAAGGCAGCAGAGAATGAGATGTATTTTGATAGTCCATAAATCATTCCACTCTCAAGAAACCATATGAAACACTGGGTAAAATTATAGTCTCTGAAATATGTATGGTTGTTTATGCCAGCAAACACCTCATCATTGCATTTGTCGCCTTATTTGCTGCCGCCCACCCAAGTAGATGAAATTTGTGGAATGGGAGCATCAACGAGGTGATTCTATTATTTCCAGTGGTGTGTAACAATGACTTGACACTTCTATGTGGACCTTTTATTTCCAACATTCAGAGGTGATAGATGGATTCGCCCATTATGAATATTATCTCTGGGACTAAATTAACTTTATGTGCCACAGCTTTTTATATAATTCTCTACCCCAATAGCTAATGGACTTAAAAAATCTGTTTTATTCTCCAATTTATAATGCCACTTCATGTTTCATGGCCATATTTTATAATTTTAGTAAGTAGTTTGAATACAATTTTTAGTACATTTTCTCGGGCATCAACAGAATGGTTGCTGGACATGAAGCTTCAGCAGCACCTACAAACGCCCACCATTCTCCATCAATTGCCAACTACTCACATAGAATAATGTTATCATTCTCACGTAAGCGGTATTTGCTGACGGGCCTTTGTTAAAGTCGTTTTGATGTGTTGTGATTTTTTTTAATGCATTATTTATGATTATTAAGCAAGTCCCGCTAGAGCGTGCTAGAGTACCTGTGGTAGACATGTTTGATGTACAAATTTAGAAAACATTACATAATGTTATAACACAATCTACTGGTCGTCGTTGCTATGCCTCCCTTCGTCTAGAACGGTATAGAACAATTCAATACCTAACAGTCGCAACCCCATAATTGGCACGAGCAGACAAAACTCAATAATCAACCTAATGAGCTCAGCATGCGTAAGCGACGGATTACGACGTTTGTGTGTTCTTCAGCGGCGTTCAGCGGCATGTGATAGGTGTGCCATCTGTTGCGTTTTATTGGTACTACTGTATTTGTTTGCGGTTTCCTTGCGTTGCAGATAAAGCGAAATGTGAAGTGAAGGTTTTCTGAGCTTCAGGGTGCATGTTTATCAAAACCAATAAGCGTATGATATATATTCGTAAGTCATAATTCTACACAATAACTTAGACGGACTTTTAAGAAGTGTATTATTTCAGGACATGGTTCGTAGGACCATAGCACCCTATCATGATGACGTACAGTCGTCTTGTAGCAGTTATGTTCTTTATATTAAAATTATAAATGAGCGTTGTGGGGCGTGTTCTTATTTTGTAAATGAATTGAACTTTGTGTTTCTAGAGCGTAATTAAGGTTGCGTGACATGGAGGTTATGGAGTCTGAAAAACCGCCGAAGGAGAGAGGAAGCATGGTGACTTCTGCAGTTTGTAGCAAGCAAACTAAAGATAGTGATGATCGTGGTGAGGAAGGTATAGGTAAAACAGCCGAAATGCATAATGGTGGAGAACAGGTTGGTACTTCTGATGATAGTGTAGGCGATTTAAAGACAAAAAAGAAAGAGAATGAAAATACCAAAAGTTCAGATGCACCGGACTCCGAATATGCTTCAAACACCGATGAGAAATGGCAGTTGCATCTGGATCTGTCGGATTCAGCCAGCACTTCAGATAATGATGGGAGCGAAGTTGAAGCCAATGAAAGGAATGGAGGGAATCTTCGGAAGCAGCACGATAACAGTAGTCCTTCCAATGAAGCTGATGCTGATGATTGTAAGGACTTTCTTGGCTTTGAGATGGGAGCATCAGCAGCACAGGATTCTGGAATGGTTTTGACCAAGCTTATTGGTAAGATTGTGATTGTGTTTTCCCGTGGTATGATTATGCTCATAGAAAATACCATGGCTTTAAACCAACTACATTTGAATCAGATTGTCCACAGTCTACTCACTTTGCTTGCCACTTGTTCTTTGCTTTTTGCTTGCTTCGCTTACTCCTTGATTCTGAAGATAGAGGCATTATGTTCCTTCAAAACATCAGTAAACCTGTAGCAGGCTGCATGGTATCACAGCCAAGAAAATATTACTCTTTTATAAAAGTGCAGTTATCAGTATGTTGATACGTATTATTGTATGTGGTCTGAATTGCGTTCAGGTTTCTCATTCTCTGAAGAGTTAAGAAGATTGTCATTGCAAGGCATTTACATATATTAATCTTTATTGTCTGTGTCCTGCTTTAGTTTTTAATCGTTGCCACCACCACTGATTTCAGTTGTGCATAGGAAAACCATAGTGCATCCATAGGAACCTGATTCATAGTCAATTTCATACCTTTATTCCTTGAGTTTCCTTCTCCCTCCTCTATTTTTCTTCATGTTCCTTCATTTTTGCACCTTTGAGAATAGCAGTCCAGTGCATCCCTTTATGTAAATTTTTATCCTGTCCTTACTGCTCAACCCATTTCCATTTTCTTTTTATCTTCCTTGGGGTAAAGGGTGGTCAGCATTTAAGGCTTGACAGCATCACTGCCATCTGTGAGCTGATTGTCTAGAAGATGTTGAAACCTTGACTTCTCACAACCCTGTGGGCCTCTATGGCCAGTTACAGGGACAGCTTTACCTTTTACCTCTTTTTTATAATTTGTTCGTGTCCTGTTTTGCTCCAAAGCTAATGGTTGGAGATTATTTCGTGCCATTTGATGTTTAGAACTTTTGTTAGTCATCAGTTTGTAAATGTTTTTAGCTTATGATTAAGAAGTTCAATGTTTCACCTCTGTGTAAAAGAAAAATTGTTATTAAAATTCTTAATTTTGTTCATTTTGGCAGATAGGTTGCCCTTCACACTAGGTATAACTGGACAAAGGCTCCATTTTCTCTTTTATGTAGCTCTTATCTTCAAATTAATATCTAAGAATCTATGATGTGTATATAATTTAGGGTGAAATATTTGTGCATTACACAGGTGCTCCTAGTATAGAAGCATAATTAGGTATTTGTTGTTTTGTTTATCAGTAAGAAAAGTGTTGTAACAGTCTCATTCTTAGAATGGGTGAAGTTTGCTGTAAGAGAACTTAGTAAACAAGAACAAACTTGCATTTTAAACTGTTTCTTTAGTGTTTGAGAATCAAAAACATTCCAGTATAATTCCCAGTATTAGTAATTTTATATACACATATACTCAGCCTCCACCACACAGACAGATGCATGTTCACACACACACACACACACACACACATGCAGAGAGAGAGAGAGAGAGAGAGTTTTTAAAGGTACAGACACAATTTACAGGAGGTATGGGGCGAGATCATTTGGAATAGGAAATTACATAAATCTTTTTCCAATTCATAATAATTATTGACTTACATTGCTTCAAAATTGAATGTACACTTGTGATTAGACTACTTGGTTGGAACATTAATGCCATATATAATGATTTCTTGGGGTGGAGTGAGACTGAGTCCAATTGGTACATCCAGCCCTGGATGATGGATGAATATGGAGCAGTTTGTGGAATGAGAAATGGCAGGGGAAACCAAAGTACTCAGAGAAAACATGCCCCAGTTCCACTTTGTCCACCACAGATCCCACATGACCTGACCTGGGATCGAGCCCAGGTTGCTGCAGTGGGAAAATGGTGACTAACCACCAGAGCTGTGACATGGACATGATTTGTTATTACTTGTAATTTGTCTAAAAGGTGAAGCAGGTGTTGGCAGGATGTGTAATAATTTTGTGATATTTTGTTGAAAACTTACAGCATTTGTTGCCCAACTTCACTATATGTGACGAGTAACACACTGGCTGAGTAATCCGTTTTTGAGCAGTGAATATGATGAGGAAGGCCAGTTGCATTGCCACCTCATTTCTTTATGCTCATTCCCTTAGGCTTGTTTTCTGGTGTTGTATGAAGAAATCACTGAAGATGCGATAATTCTAAAACTTCAGTGACCTCATTAATGCATGCAGAAAGATGCTAAAAGTATCCTTAGGTGCCTTTGGACATCGGTCTTTCTCACACCTGTATAAGAGCTGAAGGCAGTTGTTTTGAGCAAATGTAAGTGGTGTATACAGTTTTCAGAAAATATAGGCATTTGTATTGACTACTAGTAGGTGGATTGTGTTAATATTTATGTCACCTTTTAGAGAAGTTTTAATCAATAGAATATCACCATATATGGCTTCAAATGTTATAATCAGGGAGTTTCTATCATTTGCAAACTTTCATTTCTGAAGTAGTGGTAAGTCAGTAACTGTTATGAAATGGAAACCTGCTGATATACATTATCTTCTGCAGAAGATCTGTATAGTTTCTGTATGTAATAGTAATACATTATGAAATATCCTGTGTCATGTGGGTGTGAGTGGGTTTTTGTGTGTATGTGTGAACGCACAATTTGTCAATTGTTCTCCAGTACGTGGTGTCTGGTCCTATTGGTAGGAAACCACGAGTCATAGTACAAATGTGTTTAAGTTCACCAGTGTTTCATTGCTTGGAAACCCTTTAATGCATAAAGCAATCAGTATGTATTAGTTGGGTAGTATGTAGGTAACTCAATAAGTAAGTTACAAATGGATATACAGTCAACTCTCGATTATCCGGGGGCGGATTAACCGGTTTGCGGCTTAACCGTGGCTACTGAGGCTTTTTTGAGGCTTATNCCCCTGTCCCATCATTTCACAAGCCCCTGAAAACCAGCAGCATAAAATTCTTTGGGCTGCTCTCGGAACCAGGCAGTGACTTCCCCTTACAGGGAACATTTATATCCTCAGGATACTTCGTAAGGCCATTCAACGGAAGCAACCAGGACTCCTCACCAAAGGAATGTTGCTCTTGCATGACAACACGTGTCCCCATACTGCCAACAAGACAAATGAGGCGCTGTGAAATTTCAAGTGGGAAGTCCTCTAGCATCCTCCATATAGCCCTGACCTTGCTCCAAGTGACTTGCATTTGTTCGGCCCTCTTTAAACATCATCTTTCGGCTGAACATTTTCCTGACGATGAAGCTGTAGAAAGGGAAGTCACTGCCTGGTTCCGACAGCAGCGCAAAGAATTTTATTCTGCTGGTTTTCAGGGGCTTTTGAAATGATGGGACAAGTGCCTCAGTGTACAGGGAGATTATGTTGAGAAATAAAATCATTTTTCAAATCAGTACCCTTATTTGTTTAAGTTCTATATCCATTTGTAACTTACTTATTGACTTATCCTTTTAAATAATAAAATGTTGAACAAAAAAATGTATACAGAAAAAGCTTCAATAAACCAAACTAATTGAAGCTCTGGTGTGTTTGGACTGCTGGATCATTCAGATAACTGGATTCCAAATAGAAAACTAGAATTTTTAATCACATTTTTTATTAAAAAGATTTATGGATACATTTTATATTGTAAACAACAACTGGAGCCACAGGCATTCATCTACACTCCAGGCTCAGGGAAAGTCATAAGTGGTTAACTGGATTAATTATTTCCACATATAGAGGTTGGTGCTTTTAACACATATTGTCATATTACACAAGAATTTGTTTTTACTGCAAGGAAGTCAAATAATTAGATTAAATTTATAATTTTTGGAGGTGACGATTATGGAGAGGGTTGTGGTACTGTAAGTCAGTTCAAATTGACATTAGTTCAAATTACTAAGGTTCTACTGTATTCATAAGATTGTCATATGCATAGCACAAAATAGGGATTTGCAGCATCATACGTTAACTTTGCATTTCTTGTCTGCAGGTCTTGCAGAGTCTGCGTTGAAATGTGATAAGATAGATCCATGTGGTGCCAGCACATCCCATGATTTCAAAGAATTTGAAACAAGGATGGGAGCTAATGATTCGGAATTGAAATTAGCTCCTTGCAGTGTTGTCTCCTTATCACAGATTTTCTTTGACCATGATAATGAGATGGATGTAGATGACTGTGAGAGCATCAAATTCACATTGAAGTTACTTTCCAATGCAGATATGTATAGACTAAAAGAGGAAGCAATGGATGAAGATAGTTCAAGCAGAGACAACGTGGATGATCTAGAAAGTGGGATAGTAGTAGGTAGAAGTAGTCAGCCACATGAGGGTTCGTTTATGACCAAAGGAGTCAAAATTTATTCTGGTGTTAATAGAAGTTCTGAGATAAGGAAGAAGAAGAGGAAGAAAGCCAAAGAGAAAGACAAGTTAAAAGAAAATGAATATACAAGCCTGGTGGATATGAAGATGTATGTGGATGTGTCGGGCTCTGCTGATATAGGTACTACAGTTAAGGCTGAATTTGCCTCAGGTATGTTCTCAGCCACAACCAGCATAAATTAGTGCATGTTGAACATAATTAGCATAATCATCCTCACTCTTCTTTGTGTATATTTGCTTATTTCCCCTAACTTCCTTCTTTTAAGATCCATGTGCTTCTAAAATGATGTTTCTGTCATATTTAAGTATTCATAATATTTATTTTGTCTTTATTTCTTTGGGGTTTTATCTCCTCAAATGTATGCATCCAGAGTGTTACTGTAATTTGCATAGCTGGACAGATTACCCTGTGAAACTAGACAGAAATATGTTCGTAGGAAGTAGCTAGAAAATAACACCAGGTGCTGCCATTATGACATGACATTGAAACAAACTGCATGAAAATTTTTATGTGTAATTTGACCTTAGATAGTTACAGACAAGACAGATGCAATTGACATTTTTCCCTTTATTTGAGGAAGCAAGGTTAAATGTTTGTATTTTTGAATGCTGTGGTTAATTTTGTTATAGTTCATTATGAAAAAATTAGTTCAGTTCTGCTTGTAGATCTACAATGCTTTAATCCTTGAATTATAGTTATCGTTAGCCTAATTTCCGTATTTAAAAAAATAAAGGATGCTTATGAGATCACCTTGTTGTCTGTGTGTCCATGTGTTTGTGTATCGCCTCCCTCCCCCAACTCCTGAGAGCTGGACTTGTTCTCTTTATATAAATTATGAGTTGGACCACAAAGAAGACACTGCCTCCAGCAGTTCCTCTGTTGGTAGCATACTTTCCCTACCTGTATGTCTATGTGTATCCCTCCTGTTGCTGCTAGGCAATGGTCTGATTCCTGGACAGTGGCCCAGTTAGTAGGTAGCGGCTCAGTAAACAAATACACGTGCAACAGTAGAAGAACTGTTGGATGCCTCATTTTACATGTAGTCTGTGTCTTCTTATCAAGGGAAAGCAGGTGATCAGTTCTTCCCACAAGTGTTCCATGTGGAAGCAGGGCCAAATACCTCCATGGTAGCTCTGTGAGTTGTGGGAGGCGCCAAGAAGGGACCCCAGTACCTAGGAGTATACATGGGCCACCCTGTTCCTGGAGTTATAAATATGGGGACCTGGCCCTCCAGGCTGGGGGATTCTCAAGTCTGAGACAGTAAAATATGGTCATGAATCCTGTGAGACTCGGACCCCAGAATGACCAGAGTGATTGTAAACAGCAGACCCATCCTCTCATCACAGGGGATGTTACATAAGGACCATAACCGCAAGTGTTCAGTTGAAAAAGAAAATGCTGGTAGTGGGTCTCAAGGGGCTTGGCACCGAGATGAACTGATTGGCAGGAAACCACCAGTCGTAAAGCAACTCTGACTATAGTTCTTCCCAGAGCTTTTTATGTATATTTCTGATATTCGCTGCATTTTGAGAATTGGCTGTTATAGTGACAAAACATCTTGCTTACATTTTACTACTTCTTCTTATTGTTATTAGTGGGACTGGCCAGGAACATATGCTCTGACTACTATTTTTGATTAGTATTCAAACGCTCCTGGCATTCATCCCACTTGATGCTATTAAAAAAATATGTCACCATAGTGATAGCCTGTGGCAAAATGTACCCTAGACACTGGCCAGTGTTCAGTATGATGGCAGTGAAATGTGTGATCTTTTGGAATTTAGCAAAAATGATAGATTTATGCAAATGTAAATTTTCTTGCAGTTATAGAAAGCAAGATATAAATTCCTCTTAACAGTTTGGTACTGGAATATTGCACTAAGATGCCACACATGTATTTCTAAGCATGCTACAGAAATGTGAATTTACATCCACAGTCTAACTGATGGGCTGGTAAAAATTAAGTAATTTGTGACAGGTGTAGGTACTGCTAGTGAAGATATGTCATCAGAAGTGACCAGCTCTGCAGCAAGCAGCCCATCAGTTAGCTCTCGAAGCAGCTTCAAAATGTCTGGTTCGGGTGCGAGATACAGTCGTGGAGATTCCCCTGCTCTGTTTTCAAGTGGAGGAAAAGGGAAAAAGATCTTCGTGGACCTGTCTGATCCAGCTTTACTCAAACCATTCGAGTATGGTATGTACTGAATTGTACTTCAGATAGTCAGCATTTTATATGAATGGGTGCGACATGTGTACGTGCATATTGTTGCAGAGCTTAAGATGTGGAACCATATCACACAGCATTAGGAATAACTGAGAAGAACTGAGTAACATTTTTCTGAAATATCAAAGTGTGTATCACATATGGGTAAAGGTGAAGTTTTTGCTGTGCTTAATTAATTAAGTAGTTAAGCAGTGCACCATGAAGACTTATGGGGAAGTGGAGGTATAGCTCCACCATTCTTGACCTTGGCAGTAGGAGGTGAGTGGTCAGTTTCATACCCTGGCTGCTTTATCCCACCCACCCAGGAAGGAGCTCATGGTACCTATTGTATAGGAGACTGGGTGAGCCCCAGAACCATTGTCTATGCTCCAGAGTAGAGGCATCCTGAACCTGCCAGGAATCAAACCCTGGGTGTCCATCCAATAGCCTATTGCTATACCAACTGAGCTATCCTGGCTCATGAATCTCATGCAGAATATCTTAAATGACAAAAAAGATGCTTATTTTCTGATTGCTTTGACACCCTTAATTTTAACCTAAAAGTAGGGCACTAGTAAATACATAAATTGCAGGGAAATATCATGAATCACTGATCAGTCAGTGAAGAATAACCAATCTGGCTATGGCAAAGCTCATATTGTCAGTTTCTGTATAAGGATGATACAAGGGATGCTAGATACATGTAATATACCTGGACATTAATTATTGGAGATACAGGAAGTATGTTTTCAAGAGTTTTGTATTCTGAGATATATTGCTGTCTAGTCCTTTAAAAGTCGACCGATGTTTTGGAGGAACATAGTGCGAGTAAAGCTCTGCTTGCTACCTGCTTCATATTGGTTTCTTGCTAAGTTTGTTTTTCGATTATGGCGCAGACATATTCCTCTGAAACATCAGTTGACTTTGAACATACTGCACAGTGTTGTATCCCAGATGATCACACCCTTCGTAACCACTGCTGTGAGAATCTGAAATCCAACAATACACGTTTTCATTTTCCCATAATAATCTTCCCCAATTAGGTTGATGAACTTTCTATGTTTTGCAGGTGAAAAATAAATCCTTGAAAAACTGAAAAATAGAAGTCTTTATCTTCTTCCTCAAATTACTCTGAAACAGCATTTTTAGATTCATTGCTTCTTAAAAGCTGACATCTGTTAAAATGTCTTGCTGGTTTTCAGAACAGAAAGTAGTCACTGGAGACCAGGTCTGGACTGTAAGTTAGTTGGTTTAATTAGCCAGATCACAGTTTTTATGGCAGATGTTGCTTTTCATGACTTGTGTGCAGCAGTATTGTCAAGAAGAAGCATGACACCTCTTGTGAGTGAACTTTTCTCGTCATCTTTCCTGATACATCCGTTAAATTTCAAAGCACAGCAGCACAAGGCGTCTCCAGTGATTGTTGTCTTGTATGGTTATAAAAAAACCTCTGTGGTGTTAGTTTGCAAGCAAACTATTCCAACTGAGTAACCACCACCTGTCAGCGAAGTTAGTGCCAAGTTTAGCAGATAGTTGGTGCCGTGTGGTTCAGAAGCACAACGAATTCCCATAGCCATTAAATTCGGTTTTCTAGACGAGAGCCGCTATTTCCTTGAAATAGCTCCTCAGTTATCCTCACGAAGCTGAGTGGACCCCATTCCAGACCCACCACTTCTCAGAAAATCGAATCCGGGGCCTCTGGATCTGTAGCCAGAAACTCTGACCACTAGACCACAGAGGCGGCCATCGATGGGCATAATTGCCTTAAAATCTTAAAATGCCTTTACTGTGATCTTTCTGGCTAATGGTGGCACCTGAAATTTTCTTGGAGTGGGTGAAGCATAGTGTTTCCACTGCAAATCTCCTCAGAAATTTGAATAAAGTCTGCTTCTGAATTAACTGGCATTCTTTATGCCCAGTGAGAACTGACCTTTGACTTACACAGGCATTAATGTAAAATGACCAAAATGAATGGTTCCGACACATTGCGTTCTGAAGGATTATAAATATCCGCCCTGCTTGGCCAGGTCTTAAGATTTTAGCATATATCTGGACTTGTCACTTCCAGTGGTCTTCCAGGCTGGGGAATATCAACTTCATTGCATTCCCTGCTACACATGTACCAGTTAGAACAGTATTTTGCCTGGTATTTAGAGGATGCAGCATCATTATACACAACCAGCATCTGATTGTGAACAACCTTTGTTCCATTTTCCTTTTTTGTGAGGAATTTGACGGTGGATCAGTGCTCTAACCTGACAAGATCAGTTTGGACACACTAATAGGTTGATTTAAACCATGCTGACACAAGTTTCAAGTGAACTTAGTGGTAATTAAACACACAACACTTAGAGGGATGTCAGAACAGGTTACAACTTGTTTCATCATGATGCAACACCAATGTCTGGTCTAGATAGATTGTATGCCTAGTGTCCTTCCTACTTGCATTTCTTAGTGTCGCTTTCCGCAACATATTGAATGAAATGGGAGAAATGCAGTAATGCAGGAGTGGCTGTAGTTTGTAGACTGTAGGATCTCAAAAAGAAAAACACATTTTGTGCAATAAGTAGATCTCCTCATGTCAGGCTTGTAGGTAAATTGTGCATTGAAAAGTGTGTGTCATTCTGAGTAGTACTTCATTTTACAGAAGCAAACTCGTAAGTTTGTACCATAACATGTTATGAAAGCTAACAGTTTAGCCCAGGTAACTTCTTAATGCATTAAATCAAGCCTTAATTTTGCCACTGTTCCCTACTAGGTTGGAAGCGAGAATTAGTGTACCGTAGCACAAGTGAATCAACACCCAAGAAGATGGCTGATATCTATTATTACACACCAGCAGGAAAGAAGGTGCGGTCAAATCGTGAGGTGCTGGAGCACTGTAAGTATATTTTAGTCCACTGGAGTAATTAATTACTGCAAAACATTGTTCCATTTAAAGGATCACGATGGAACAAGAAAGAGTGTTGTTCAAACAGTGGTTTTCTATATTCAGTTATAGATCAGCAGTGGGATAATAATAATTATGAAACTTGCAGATCTAATCATAGTAGTGCAAATTGCTGTGCCAGCTATTGTATTTATAGTGCTACTTTTGCTGTTCTTAGTTGATGGATAACTCACGCTAATGTTCATTTTATGATATCCAGGTATGTATACTTTACAGTGATTGATTTTTTTACATTATCCATCATAATTTTCATTTAAAATGACATTTCAGAAAGTAGAAACTTGACTCTTTCCTCAGATAAAAAGCCTACTCAGTTGGGCCCAACTGAGAGAGTTAGTTCCCATATCTGGGCACCAGAAGCAGCACAAGATGCTATGTTTATAAACAAGGCACAAGAGAAACTATCTGTGGAAATTAAAATAAAACTCAGACAGACATATTCAGCCAAATATATGAGACCTTACACCCAAGGGCATGCATGTTTGTGCCAGGATCCATAAATTAAATAACAATAAATAACTTTCAGGTATTTATGTGTATCTTCTCTTACAAGACCTTTGTGTGAAGTAATTTTTCTCTCTCTTTCTTTTTAGTGGATTCAGGAGACTTAACCATTGAAAATTTTACATTCTGCAAAGAAGTGTTAGGAGTCAATGACCCTACGAAAGAGATCATCAGAGATGCAAAGAAGATTGTGCCCAAAGTCAGTATGAGTTGCACAGGACCTTCCTAATTGATCACTATTTCAGTCTAGTTACTTCTAGGAAGTATGTGTTATGTTTATGCTTAGTGGTTTAAAATTCCTACAGATTTCTTTCAGAATGTTTATTCTGTGTTTTAATGTGTTACATGAAAATCATTTCTGCAGCCATAAATGGAAGTGTTGTACCATAATTTGAAACATTGTCACCCAGTAGATTGATGTCATGTCACTTAATGTCTTCTTACCATACCTAAAATGAGTCATCATGGCCTTTGTAATTGTCCTCGTTTGTAGTATGATCTCTATAAATGTCATGCCATAGTTATTGGAATTGTGTTTTAGGATCCCAATGCAACACAAGCAAAAAAGGCTGCAAAACTGAAGTCAAAAATGATATCTTCTCCATTGCATGAGGCAGTGAGCTCTAGCCCCATTTCACAGGTTTCAAAAGGCTCACAGCAGGGACGAACTGTACCACCAAAAGCATTTCCAAAGATAAAGGTATACATATTATCATTCATTGACATTGCTACCAGGTTTGCTCTTCCTGTGATGGAACATTTTCCATTTTTCACTGTGCTCCTATTAGTGTTGTAGTATTTATGTCCTTACTTTCCTTATCCTCTTTTGTTTATTTGGTATCTCCATTTTCCACATACTAAGCAACTTCTGACAGATCTGGTATACCTGTGAACTGTGTATCCATAGAGCGTTGATGTGAGAATACAATGAAAGCTATTGTTCCATTTCCAGTGCCTTACTCTTTCATTGAAAAGAAATAAAGCTCTTGGAAATATGATCCATATCTGATGGTTGTTGCATCATCATAAAATGTATCTCAAAAACAGAACCACGAACTACACTCTACAGCTCCAGATGAGAAACAGGATAAATTGCATATACTTGTTCAGTTTGTACTTTTCATTAATTACTGGATTAAAATTCTCTAGTAAGTCACAGAAATTCTTCTGCTCTTTGTCTGTTGGATGTCCAATTGAACCACAATTTCAGGTAGAGAATATTTCTTCCAGATTACTTGTGAAATATTTATGTCTTTGTGATATATCTTTGAGGTTGAAGGAGATCAGAAATCTCAATTTTTTGAACAGATGCCTTTACTGTGTCATAATTCTTATGGTCAGCAGCCAGCTCTAGGTTGTAAAGGGTTGTATTGATGGTGTATAACCCTTGGGATAACTTGGTCTTTGGACTTAGTCCATCATCCAGTATTCTAAAGAACAAAAATGAATACACTCTTTCAGAAACTGGTTCAGTGACTGAGGTTAGCTTTTTCTAACAGACCCAGCAGAGTAGGTATCTTCCACCCCTCACCTGAGGATGAATTCAGATCAAGTTTCTGAAAGGTTGTATTCTTTTGTATTCTTTAGAATACCTGATGATGAACAGAGCTCAAAAACCCGGTAATCCAGAGCGGGATCTCCTGCTAATGCCCCTTTTTATTTGAACTTCATCATCCAGAATGTCATTTGTAATAAGAAGATATACACTCCCTGTATGTGTTGTACATATCAAGAATATCATCCAGAGTTTTATGTCCTGTTGTGGGAAATTTAAGTACTTATCAGTGTTCCCACTTCAGTAAACTATAAAGCTGGTACAGAATGTTGCAAAGAATGTCTCATGACTCTGAGCACAACCCTGGGCTGCAAATGGGCAGATCTTGTAACAAAACATGTTGAAATATGTGACAGAATATGTACACTCCTCACATAGTACTTTCATATGTGGTACAGAAGCTTGTGAACAACTCTTACATATGTAAGTTTTGAGGTTTTCGCGGCGATGACAATGAAGAAAGTCGTCTTCTGGGTTTAGGCACCGTGTATTCTTCGTTTTGGCCGACGTTTCGGAGGAACGTAGCGCCTCCATCTTCAGAGCAGTTGAATGGCTAGGAATGCGGAGAGCAGTAGCTACCACAGCTACTGCTCTCCGCATTCCAAGCCATTCAACTGCTCTGAAGATGGAGGCGCTACGTTCCTCCGAAACGTCGGCCAAAACGAAGAATACACGGTGCCTAAACCCAGAAGACGACTTTCTTCAACTCTTACATATGTTTCCATTTACATGTAAATGTACATGTTTTCTCTTTAGAGGAGTTGCAGATTCTGAAAAGGGTCACACTGAATACAGCTGTTGTATGACTGAAAGTAGTGAGTAATAGCCGATTGTATTTGTGTTCTAGGTGTCTTCTGTGAAACTACAGAGGCTACCAGTTAAACAGAAAAAGAATGAAAGTTCAGAGGATGGAGAAATGGAGATAGGAATGTTGCCACCCATGTGGAGCCCAAGTGACAGCCCATTTCTGAAAAAATCCACAGGGAGCCCCCAGACAGTCAGTGCTGTTAGCTGGTCAGCAAAGTGAGTACACAATTTTGTAACTTATATTGCTATGTATTCACACTTAGTATCTAGGAAATGCCTGGTCTTCCTGCAAGAAAACGCTTCTTGGTTAAATTATGTTTCTTTAATCTTTATCAGATGAACTTTGCATTGTGGTTTATGTATCCACAGTCCAGTTGGCTGTGAAACACAATGCTGTACCCCTAAAATATCTATTTGGAACCATGCTGCAGCAACTATTACACTGTAATGTATCTGGTGTTCTATACAGATATAAAGGTTCATTGTGCTTTACTGCTGTGAAATATTTAGAAACATGAACCCTAGCAGGGTCATTCTCACTCTGAGCAGATCAGATCACAGTCATGTCCTGTTTATGTGAATATTCTGTCAAAATGCCAATCATTCTTGTTCAAGATCTTGTTCACTTGGACATAGCTATATCTGAATGAGTTAGTGAGAATGAATGTTAGTTCTGTCTTATGCTCATGCATGGTCATGGGCTCGGCCATGATATAGGATCAAATGTAGAAGGGACTAATAATTTTACACTGTAAGATTTTATTACATTGGTGGAAAGGTGACCAAAATAAATTAAGTTTATTTTGCATGTTTGTAGATGAGAGGTGGGGCCAGACATTTGATGTGACTGGCTATACGTACGATATTACATAATTTGGAAAGTACAGGCATAATGCAAAATAGACAGTAACATAATCAGATGTGTTATGACATTTTGCATGTCTTTGTATGTAGTTAAATCATGTCTCTACTGATTAAGCACAAAACTTGTGGAAATGCAGTGGTTGATATCAAAGAAGGTGCTCCAGTTTGCATATTTGTGCAGTTTATATTGAACAGTTGTAAGGGATTTTATTACTTCAGATTAATGACCTGTCAGACAGTATTGTCAGATGATGGATTTCACATTTCCATAGCAGTGGCTGTGAAGGATACAGTCTTGTAGGATATGAGACCGTGTAGTTTGTTAGAACATCTGCCAGACTATGAGCATCACATTGCAGAGGTTACTTGTCATTATTGTTGAAGGCCTTCTTCAAGCCAGTAGCTCAACAGAGCAGAATACTTTCAACCAGTCACCATCTTTGAAACTCTTATCACAAATATTCATTCTGTACTTGTCTTAGCCGTTATAAAGATAGAATGTGATGGGCTGGACTTGTACCCCACATGAGAGATGGAAGAGAATTAGATATAGATAGGAGGATAATATTGTAACGTGTTTGCGTTACTGATCCCACTTATGACACCAGTGTAACGTGTTTCCTCGTTACTGAAGACGCCGTAGAGATGGTTAATTGGTTTATTTAACAATCTACAAATAACGGCTACAATTAATTATCTCACAGTTGCGGGGTTTCACACTTTATAACCCTAAGCGCATTAATCTGTTAACACTGTTGCGGGGTTTCACGACTTATAACCCTATGCGCAAATCAGTTCACTCTGTCTTCAGTAGTCTACACGTTTACCGTAGGGGAGCTTTGTATCACTGTATCACACGCTCCCAATTACACAATTACACACACGTCCGGATCTTCTTTCCGCGACGGCTGCTATACTCCAACTTGTAGTCGGCTGGCTGTTACTTTATAACTCGGAATGTCTTCGGCGGTAGCCACACTGGAACTCGAACTC